CCCGCGCCGCCCGGGAACAGCCGGGGGCGGCGGAGCGCGGCCTCCACGCGGCGCTCGCCTACCGCTTGGCCCCTTTTTCACACATTTTGGCGACTTGGCGGCCTCAGCCAATGAGCTGAGCAAACTGTGCAGCCTCGCTCGCCCGAGAGGATTATGGGGCCACTCGGCGGTGGCGATCACATCCAGGGCGCCGACCCGGGAAGGCCGGGGGCGAGCGGGGAGAGATCGCGGCCCGCGGGCCGGGCCCGCCAACACAGCGCTCGCCCGCGCGACGTCTTCGCGGCGGGCCGGCCGGCCGGCCAGAAGGGCGGGGAGGGGGCTTCGCGGTCCTCACGCCTCCCCGCGCCCGCTGCCCGTGGGCCTCAGTTGCCCCCACTGCAGGAGAGGGTCGGGGGGTGCTCCGGACCGCGCGTCCAGTCCGGACCTAGAACTTCCCGCCGTCCCAGCAAAGCACCTCTGTCCGGGCCAATGGCTTACTTCGCACATCCTAAGAGTAACGGTCAGAAAGGGCACCGGGCTTTATTTCCCCCTTGGTATTCCTGCAAGGTTTTTGTCATTTAAAAAAGAAAAAGATTGGGGGGTGGGGGGTGGAGTGTAGTTCTTTCAGTGGGGTCTACCATCCACTACGGAAAACTGCAGGAAGAGGGGAAAGGGGAGCGGGCAGTGCACTGGACTTGCTGCTCCAGTGTAAACTGCAGTGGCTTAGTAAGGCAATAATAGTCATTTCCAACACCCTCATAACCCTACTAGTGAAAACATCATCCTGAAGCCTGCACAAGGCTAACGCGGTGCAGCGTGCTGGGGGGGCTCTTCCCTGAGTCCAGGAGCAAGGCCGTGGTCAGGACCCCACCCTGTTTCAGTGCTGACAATTCAGAGCAAACTGTGTTAAGAAAAATATCCACTGAGCTAAGAATAACAGCAAGAAATGCGATGAACTAGCATGTACTCTTTTTTTTTTTTTTAATTTAGGGAGAAAAGTTAGAATGTTGCCGGTTTTGGTGTATGTACAACATTGGCTAAAGTCTCTAGGAAGCCTTACGAAAATAGTAAAGTCTTCTAGCAAATTAAGTTTAAGAATGCCCAAGTATGAAAATCGTATATAAAATGAAATGATCTGATCATTCAGCTTTATCGTCTCCCTTAAAAGAAATACATGTTTCGAAGTTAAATATAAAAGAGAAGAAGAAGAGGGCATTGTGCCCTTTCTCTGTGAACCCGGCTTTTTCACGATTCATTAAACCCTTTTTCTATATGTGTAATTGGACTCTCCTCATTTACATGAAGGAGGGATAAGGGAAAAGACCTAAGATCAGCCCAAAAGGAGACATGTTTCTCATTCTGTGTTAAAAAAAAATGTAGAAGAAAAGTGCAAGAGGCAGAGCCCTCGA